CCCCAAGATGGGGAAGCCATCTTTGCAGCCCAGTCCACCTGGTGGGGATGGAGTCTGGCTGACGTCGCAGGATTACAGCGATTTGGAGCAAATGCAACCTGGACCCCCCAGGGCAAAGCAGCTGGGACATAAAAGCAAGCACCCTGGCCCGGCCAGTGTGGCTTAGTGGTTGAACATTGACCTATGAACCAGGAGGTCATGGTTTGATTCCCGGTTTGGTTCCCAGTCAGGGCACATGCCCTGGTCGTGGGCTTGATCCCCTGTGTGGTGTGTGCAGGAGGCAGCTGATCAATGATTCTGATCATTGATGTTTCTCTCTCTCTCTTCCTCTCCCTTCCTTTCTGAAATCAATTATAAGTATAAATATAAGAATATATATAATCAGAAGCTGTGAAAGGCAAAATGGCGCCACCCCGATTAATTTCCTTTTAATGATTAGGGAATTTTATTATTTCTTTCTCTAGTTTAAAAGTTCACTACTTTGAGTGAAAAGTAAAAACATCCTATTTGGAAGCCAAAACTTAATTAGAAACCATAAATGCTAATTCTGTTTTTCCGCTCATGAGACTCATTGCTTGTATGTGTCCCCATTAACGCACAAAATGAAAAGTGGTGGTGGTATATGTTTAATTAGGCTTAACATTTAAATTTGCATGTTCAAAGTTTATTAAGGTTCCTTGAGAGCTGATGAGTATGGTGCTCGTTGGTAGGTGTCTGGTAGGGCAAGAAAGGATTGGGTTTGCCCCTTCTAACGCTCCACCTACATTTTCACCAGCGTCTAAAAGATACATCTGACTCAAAAAACATAAAAAAAATAACCCCACTGCCACCCACCTTTAATACAGCTAGAGAATTGCTGCTGATCATTTTCTATAATTATAATCCTTTTTTAAAAAAATATATTTTATTGATTTTTTTACAGAGAGGAAGGGAGAGAGATAGAGAGCCAGAAACATCGATGAGAGATAAACATCAATCAGCCTCCTCCTGCACATCTCCTACTGGGATGTGCCCGGCAACCAAGGTACATGCCCTTGACCGGAATCGAACCTGGGACCTTTCAGTCCGCAAGCCAACACTCTATCCACTGAGCCAAACCGGCTTCGGCAAACCTGGGACCCTTGAGTCCGCAGGCCGACACTCTATCCACTGAGCCAAG